CTGTTTAAAAAATTTTTGCTTATTCTGGATCAGTCTTATGGAACGGACTACCATATGAAATGCGTAAAGCGCAAAACACTTTTTCTTTTAAACAAATTATAAAACAATACTTGAGACAGTCCCAATATTCAGTCTTAAAACGATTGCAACTATTACTTGAATTTGTTGAAATACTAAATTTTTTTTTTCTCAGTGAGACTGAATTCATAACTGTCAAAATAGCATATTTTCAAGAAGATCGGCCAATTCATACATTTCTTTAATACAACGATGTTTAATACATCATATATGTAAATAAAATATTTAAGTTCAAATTTGTTTCCTGTATCTATATTCAATATATTAAAATTTATTTCAAGAGGTAAACATTTACAAAGTTATAATTTCTTATTTCACTCTCAAGAACGCCGTTCGTCGGTCTGTCAGGAATTGAAAAAATCAAGTAAAAAGGCAATGTTAACATAGTATGCTGATTACTTATGATATTTTTAAAACCATGTGTTGTAGACGAACCTTGTTTTTGTTGACATTTCTTATTACTCTCCCTCCCTTTTAAAACTCTAGGTTTTTTTTATTGAAAAGTCCTATAATACGCCAATAGTGGACAACTGCATTTGGAAGGAAAAAAAGATAAGTCATTAAACAAGGACAATGAAACAAATTTCTAATATTTTATTTTATTTACACAAGTCAAGGACATGAATAGTAAGTTCGTAAAATAAATATAAAATTCTGATATTTCACATGCTTAGTCTAGGGAGATGATTAGTCAAAATGGATATATTATGTCCCAGATATAGCCGATCGATTAACCATTACAGGAAGTTATTGGAAACAATTCTTTAATTTTTGTTATTTCAAGATTTGGTGAAATTCTACATGATCTCTTTTTTCACCCAATATAGATTGCACTTCTGTAAATATAAACAATGCAATTTCCCATAGGAACTCCTTTTATGGCTAAGACTGTGCCACTTTTACTATGAAGTTTCATAAAAAATTATATCCTAAAATGGAAAGTTCATATGCACTACTTTGATTTCAAAGGTCAAACCGCTGTATTTACAAAGTGCAACCTATAAGTATACAAAAACACACCAAAGATACCATTGACCACTCCATATTATTAGTACTAGAAGCATCATAGATAACATTGACCACTCACTATTATTAGTACTAGATTGCTTCATAGATAACATTGACCACTCCATATTATTAGTACTAGAACGCATCATAGATAACATTGACCACTCACTATTAAAAGTAGAAAAACACATCAAAGATATCATTGACCACTCCATACTATAAGTACTAGAACGCATCATAGATAATACTGACCATTCACTATTAAAAGTAAAAAAACGCATCAAAGATACCACTGACCACTCAATATAAGTACAAAAACACATCAAAGATACCATTGATGCTTGTCAATGAGGAAACTATCTGCAAGAGTCCAAATGGCTTGGATGTTAGCTACTTCAGGTCTGTGTATGGCATTCAACAACCAGTAAAACCCATACCTCATTGCAACAGGATCAAGATATAAAAGGCCATGTCATGACGAAATGTAAAACAATTCAGACACTATGACCAAAAGTCCTGATTTATTTACAAAACAATAAACCTGACCAAAAAAATTTACTGTTTATAGTTGTTGTCCTTCAAGGAGTATTTTATCTTTAAAATTTGCATTTTTGTTTCAAATATCTTTTACTAATTGAAACTAAATTGAATTGAATTTGAATGATCCTTAATCATGTTAATGTGTCCAAGTTTTTTATTTACAAATTATATTACCATCTTTCGATCAACATGGCCACCATAACTAAAAATAGGACATAAATGTAAATGCAAATTGTTCTGCAATATCACTAAAATTTAGGAAACGGATGCAAATGCTTAGAATGTCAATTTTGACTGTCAATCCATCAAAATTGTCAGCAGATTCCTTAATAGAGTTATTTCCTTTTAGATGCATATGTTGTTAATATAAAATACAATGTTTTAAGGTAACAATTCTCATGATTGCGTAAGATTTTGCTACATTTTTTCCTTACCTTTTTAGCTCACCTGACCTGAAAGGTCAAGTGAGCTTTTCTCATCACTTTGCGTCCGTCGTCCTGCGTCCGTCGTCCGTCGTCCGTAAACTTTTACAAAAATCTTCTCCTCTGAAACTACTGGGCCAAATTTAACCAAACTTGGCCACAATCATCATTGGGGTATCTAGTTTTAAAAATGTGTGGCGTGACCCGGTCAACCAACCAAGATGGCTGCCACGGCTAAAAATAGAACATAGGGGTAAAATGCAGTTTTTAGCTTATAACTCAAAAACCAAAGCATTAAGAGCAAATCTGACATAGGGTAAAATTGTTCATCAGGTCAAGATCTATCTGCCCTGAAATTTTCAGATGAATCGGACAACCCGTTATTGGGTTGCTGCCCCTGAATTGGTAATTTTAAGGAAATTTTGCTGTTTTTGGTTATTATCTTGAATATTATTATAGATAGAGATAAACTGTAAACAGCAATAATGTTCAGCAAAGTAAGATTTACAAATAAGTCAATATAACCGAAATGGTCAGTTGACCCCTTTAGGAGTAATTGCCCTTTATAGTCAATTTTTAACCATTTTTCGTAAATCTTAGTTATCTTTTACAAAAATCTTCTCCTCTGAAACAGCTGGGCCAAACTAAACCAAACTTGGCCACAATCATCATTGGGGTATCTAGTTTAAAAAATGTGTGGCGTGACCCGGCCAACCAACCAAGATGGCGGCCACAGCTAAAAATAAAACATAGGGGTAAAATGCAGTTTTTGGCTTATAACTCAAAAACCAAAGCATTTAGAGCAAATCTGACATGAAGTAAAATTGTTTATTAGGTCAAGATCTATCTGCCCTGAAATTTTCAGATGAATCGAACAACCTGTTGTTGGGTTGCTGCCCGTGAATTGGTAATTTTAAGGAAATTTTGCTGTTTTTGGTTATTATCTTGAATATTATTATAGATAGAGATAAACTGTAAACAGCAATAATGTTCAGCAAAGTAAGATTAACAAATAAGTCAACATGACTGAAATGGTCAGTTGACCCCTTTAGGAGTTATTGCCCTTTATAGTCAATTTTTAACAATTTTTCGTAAATCTTAGTAATCTTTTACAAAAATCTTCTCCTCTGAAACTACGTGGCCAAATTAAACCAAACTTGGCCACAATCATCATTTGGTTATCTTGTTTTAAAAATGTGTGGCGTGACCTGGTCAACCAACCAAGATGGCCGCCACGGCTAAAAATAGAACATAGGGGTAAAATTCAGTTTTTGGCTTTTAACTCAAAAACCAAAGCATTTAAAGCAAATCTGACATGAAGTAAAATTGTTTATCAGGTCAAGATCTATCTGCCCTGAAATTTTCAGATGAATCGGACAACCCGTTGTTGGGTTGCTGCCCCTGAATTGGTAATTTTAAGGTAATTTTGCTGTTTTTAGCTCACCTGGCCCGAAGGGCCAAGTGAGCTTTTCTCATCACTTGGCGTCCGTCGTCCGTCGTTGTCGTCGTCGGTGTCGTCTCCGTCGTCGTTAGCTTTTTACAAAAATTTTCTCCTCTGAAACCACTTGGCCAAATTTAACCAAACTTGGCCACAATCATTGTTAGGGTATCTAGTTTAAAAAATGTGTCCGATGACCCCACCAACCAACCAAGATGGCCGCCATGGCTAAAAATAGAACATAGGGGTAAAATGTAGATTTTGGCTTATATCTCTGAAACCAAAGCATTTAGAGTAAATCTGACATAGGATAAAACTGATTATCAGGTCAAGATCTATATGCTCTGAAATTTTCAGACAAATCTGACAACCGGTTGTTGGGTTGCTGCCCCTGAATTGGTAATTTTAAGGAAATTTTGCAGTTTTTGGTTATTATCTTGAATATTATTATAGTTAGAGATAAACTGTAAACAGCAATAATGTTCAGCAAAGTAAGATCTACAAATAAGTTGTCATGACCAAAATTGTCAGTCGACCCCTTTAGGAGTTATTGCCCTTAATAGTCAATTTTTAACAATTTTTTGTAAATTTTTGTAATCTTTTACAAAAATCTTCTTCTCTGAAACTACTGAGACAAATATAACCATACTTGGCCATAATCATTATTAGGGTATCTACTTTGAAAAATTTGTCCGATGACCCCGCCTTCTAACCATCATGGCCGACTTGGTTAAAAATAGAACATTGGGGTAAAATGCAGTTTTTGGTTTATATCTCTGAAACTAAAGCATTTAGAGCAAATCTGACTGGTGGCAAAAAAGTTCATCAGATTTAGATTTATCTGCCCTGAAATTTTCAGACGAATCCGACAACCCGTTGTTGGGTTGCTGCCCCTGAGTTAGTAATTTTACAAAAATTTTGCAGTTTTTTGTTATTATCTTAGATATCATTATAATATCTAATATCTAATACTATTAATTATGATTTTAACCTTATTTTACATGATTTCCAAAGCATCAGTAAATACAGGTGAGCGACACAGGCTCTTGAGAGCCTCTAGTTTAATTTCTTGTATCTAAGTAAGGCTGTTTTAAAATTTATATAATGGAGGGGGAGGGGGGATGCACTCAATTTAGTTTAATATGGATGTTTGCATTTATCGTAGAATTTTGTGAATGGAAATTTTAACTACCCCCCTTGTGTGTTTTAATCTGGAATAGCCTTATCTATAAACATTTGTATTTTTCAGGTATTTAAATTAATGGTTTCTCCCTTCCTTTGAAATCCATGAGATTAATAATAATACATCCATAGTTAAAAATAGGTACACATATAGGGATTGCAACTATCTTGAGATGTTAGACATTTATTGTTCTTTTATCCAGGTATTGTTAGAGATATATATGCAAACTCCGTTTTGAATGCAAAAAGGAGAATACTTCATACACTGCAATTATAATGTATATTGTGTGCAACTTGAGTTTAAAGTGAAAGTATCATCCTATATTTTACAGGCTATTGAAAGATTAGGTGGACAGCAAATGAAGCAGGAGTGTGATGATATGAAAACCAAACCTTTAGATCAAACCAAACAAGAAATAATGATGGACATCAAGCATTCTGATAAAGAAATACGGGAGCTGAAAGATTCATTTGAAAGTCTAAAGCTGTCACATACTGAAATCATAAAATCTCATGAATTACTACAAGAAAACCATGCAGTCATGACAAAAGAAATGGAAGAAATAAAGATTGCTCAGAAGGATCCTGTACCTTGGAATATTAGAGGTAAACTGTTGGAGGGGACCTGGGGAACATCTTCTCCTTCATTTTATTAAGAAATCCGATTTTTTGTCTCCCCTGCGAAGAAAGTCGCAGTATGCGGGACATAGGGATTATTATCCAGAGGCGGTGGTGGAAACTTTCTATTTAGCTTTATATTTCAGTATGTAGAAGACTTGGATACTTCATACCTTGTATGCCAGTCAGGGGCAATACTTGTACAAGTCAATTTTATTTACTTGAAGATGTAAGTAATATTTACTTGTTTAAGTAAATTTGTATGATTTTTATCTTAATTTCAATATTTGAATAATTTCCCCTTAATCTTCTACAAAAAATTACTTATACAAGTAAATTTTTTTTACTACCCCTTAAATTCTCAAGCTTTGGGAGGTCAAAACATGCCTTTACAATATTTTCCTGGTTTGCTAATTAATTAGAGTTCAACCTTTTATTTCAAGAACTAAACAAAGAAGTCTATTGCGCACAGATGTTAAGTAACTGTGCAAGGCCTCCAAAAATTGCTCCCTGGAGGCTTGTAAATTAGCAGTATTTTGAAGATTACAGACAAATGAGATTTTCATTGTCCATGAAATTATGCTTTTATAAATAGTAAAGACAACTAATAATGACAGACAATTAATCACTCCAGGAGAGCAATGTAGTCAAGAGAAATTCAAGAAAAGAAGAAAATAAGACTTTTTTTACTTATATAAGTAAAAAATATCTGAATGTCTAAGGGATATAACTCTACCTCCAAAATAATTTACCTGCACCAGTAAATAAAAGTATTACCCCTGACTGTATGCATGCAGATACCTTATGTTACAAAGTTTTGGTCTTTCATATGTCCATTGTCCCTGACCTCATTTTCATTGTTCAGCAACTGCTTGAATAAAAAACCAGTTTTTTTGTCATGTTAATATCTCACTTATGAGTAATAAGATAACTATATTTGGTATATGAGTCCCTTGCAAAGTCTACATGTGTGTCAGACAGGGTTTACCTGACCTCAACCTCCTTTCATGGATCAGTGATCAAGGTTAAGGTTACATGATTAGGTCTGTTCCTTAGATACTATTAATAAGTAGGTCAATTTTATGTGGTGTATGGAATGATTGTAATGGGTACATGTCAGTCTGGCAGGTTTCATCTGACCTTGACCACATTTTCCTGGTTCATTGGTCAATGTTAAATTTTTGGTTTTTGGCAGTAAGCAAAAGGTAAACTATATTTGTTGTTTGGAGTGATTGTAAGGTGTACATGTCTGTCTAGCCGATATCATATAACCTTGATCTCATTTTCATGGTTCATTGGTCAATGTTTAATTTTTGTGTTATGGTCTGTTTTTCAAATATGAATAGCAATAGGTCAACTATATTTGGTGTATGGAATAATTTTAAGGTGTACATGTCTGTATGACATTTTTTATCTGACCTTGACCTCATTGTCATAGATCTTTAAAAATGTAAAGTGTATATGTGATACTTGTATTTAAACCTTAATCTTACATAAAAATCAATGGTTAATAAAGTAGGCGAGACATTTCAGCATTTGCACTTTTGTAATTACCAAGCCATGTCATAAACTTTTTAAATGCCTGTTGAAGACAGGACGTATCATCAGTGAACCTTTATAATTAAAATATTTGATAAAAAGTATTTGCATCAACAGTTAAAATTCTCCATCTTTGGGCAGTAGAATAAAAACATCATATTACATTATTGATGTGAAAATTACCCTTTGCCACACGTGACAACCATGCATGTTCAGTGTCATATACATATATATTTTTTTTTTATTAAAATCAATATCCCATCCATAGAAGTGAGAACATAAGTATACATGTTTAAGCATATAAATTTAAATACCCCCTAAAACAACCAATTACAGGTAAATTTTTGGAGATAAAAAGGACTTAGTTACAAGAAAAATATACGAAACCTTCTTACACGTTGCATGCCACAGGGTTTCACTTCACAAGGAAATTCGACTTTAAATTTATCTATACAAAATCAACCATGAGTACAGACAGCTTCAATAACAGGTATAAGAATAATTGAAGTCATCCAGGAAACAAAATATGAAGATATGATAGATAAAATCAATGCATCCAGATTATAAAGCAAACTGAGTGCTTAAATTTATATCGCAATTGATTTGTGCAATTTTCATTAGACATCCGGTTTGCAGAAACTGGGATTTGCAATAGGATTATGAAAAAATGATGTACACTCCCCAAGTAATAAATAAAGTAGTCAAGCCTTAAAATGTAAATTTAAATAGTAGCAGTATATAAATACACTTTTCTATTCACAACTATCCAACATTGCTTTCAATTGACTTGTCCGTCCGATCCTGTTTAAGCACTGTCACAGGTATAATTCTTACCAGATTTTTATAAAACTTATACTATAGGTTAATATCAGCAATATCTCGGACAAGTTCTATAATGGTGGTCGATCGACTTATTTTAAAAGAGTTATGCCCCTTGGAAATATTAAATTTATGGAAAATGGCCTCGTTAGCGCTCTCACGGGTACAATTCTTGCCAGATTTTTATAAAACTTATACTATAGGTTAATATCAGCAATATCTCGGACAAGTTCTATAATGGTGGCCGATCCATTTTTATTTTAAAAGAGTTATGCCCTTGGAAATATAAAATTTATGGAAAATGGTCTCGTTAGCGCTCTCACGGGTACAATTCTTGCCAGATTTATATAAAACTTATACTAGAGGTTAATATCAGCAATATCTCGGACAAGTTCTATAATTGTGGCCGATCGATTTTTTTAAAAAGAGATATGCCCCTTGAAAATATTAAACTTATGGAAAATGGCCTCGTTAGCGCTCCCACGGGAACAATTTTTGCCAGATTTTTATAAAACTTATACTATAGGTTAATATCAGCAATATCTCGGACAAGTTTTATAATGGTAGCCGATCGACTTTTTTTAAAAGAGTTATGCCCCTTGGAAATATTAAATTTATGGAAAATGGCCTCGTTAGCGCTCTCACGGGGACAATTCTTGCCAGATTTTTATAAAACTTATACTATAGGTTAATATCAGCAATACCTCGGACAATTTTTATAATGGTGGCCGATCGACTTTTTTTAAAAGAGTTATGCCCCTTGGAAATATTAAATTTATGGAAAATGGCCTTGTTAGTGCTCTCACGGGTACAATTCTTGTCAGATTTTTAAAAAACTTATAGTATATTATAAATTGTTTTAAAGAACCAAAAAAAAAAAAAGGTTTTCTAGTTATTGCACTTGTACCTTAGATAGATAAAATATGTGCAATGCGGGGGACATTGGAACTCTGTTCTTTTATTATATTTTTTTCACTGGACTTTCATAGAAATTTCTGCAATACCAGTGGACTCATTTGAAAATTTGGTTGACCCACCAGTGGAACAAGACAGGTTTTCCACTGGGAAATTTGGCCGAGATTTTCACTAGAATTCCTCTGGGATACCAGTGGAAATTATGTTGGTCCACCCGTAGAATTCCATTGAATGTTCTATTGTCCGTATACATCTTTCTTCCTTGAGATCTTACAGGACTACATTTTATCGAAGTGCATTCGTATATTTTCTAAATAGCTATACTTTTCAATGCAGTACAATATGTTTTTAATAATCATTTTGCTAACAACTTTCAAAATCAATAGTTTCTGATATTTTGTAAAAATAAATAGACTTAAGAATAAATAAATTTTATTTTATTTTGTCAATGTTGAATTGAATTCCTTTTAACAATTTTATTAGGGTGTAAAAGTGTTGACCGACGTACATTTTGTCTTTTTCATAAAAATGTGCTCACAATCAACGCTTTTCAAATACACCCCTAATTATAGGTTAGACAATACTTCGTCATGTTTTATGAAGATTTAAAGCCCAAGGCGTAGCCGAGGGCTTTAAATCTTCATAAAACATGACCAAGTATTGTCTGACCAATTTAGAACATATTCACACTTTCGAGTGACCTTACAAAATTATCCTTTCCCATTGTAATACTCAAAACTAAATAAGAATTCACTTTTTATAATGAAGTGAGTATATAACATAGGTAATGACCATTACAATGAATGGAATGAAATAGCACTGACATAGTTTGTGAGGACAAAAAGGATAAGTTGTTCAAACATTTGAGTTTTTCTTCTGCATCAGGTAAAAATTTAATACTTACCGGTATATACCTTAAATTTCTTGATTTTAATTAGCACACAATGTTATATCAATCCGCTTTCTGAAATTTGAATATTTTTGATAAATATAAAACTTACTCTATAAATATTTGAATTACGACCATTCAACATCAGATGCTTACTTTTTATTGATAAATGTACATGCATTGTGGGTTTTTTCTCTCAAAAAAATCCTTTGCTTCATATATCAGCAGTCTGACATTGTTTTCTTGAAAAAAAAAAAGAATCGACTTGAATGTCTGGTATAAAAATTGTATAAAAGATAATTTTACCTAGTACATCTTTGCCCCCATTTTATTTTATTTTTTGTTTGTTATATATATGTACCATTAATATAAAGATCTGCAATGTTCAAAATGTTTTTTTATAATTCTTTTCTCTTTCATCTTTAATCAGTAGGCTATTTTCCCAAGGAAAATGCCTCAGGGGATTGTACACTTCGTTAGTGAAGTTATTAAGAGTTCACTTTCATAATTAATCTACAATGAAAAGTCATTCATGTATAGCATTTTATAGTGCATGGAAAGCCATGTACTATGAAAATTAGAAGGGAAAAAAATGACTTTTCATTGGACGAGAAGGGGTGAGTATGTTCTAAAGGGTCATAAAAAGATTGAGCATTCAATTCTTATAATTACATTTTCATGTACCTGAAATTAAGAGTTTGTTTTTCAATGCATTATTTTAACATTGTCACGGATAGCACGTGCAGTTATAGCTGTTGTATTTGAAACTGAAATAAAATATGATATTGGAATGCCTCCCTCGCGATTGTTGTGAGACAATCAAAATTACAGATTCTGATGAAACATACATGTTATGTAATTATTTTATTTTACAAAATTTTAGTAGAAACATTAACATTGATAGTTTATTATAAGCCATTTGGAATTTTAAAATGCTCCCCCTTTTTCTAGCACACAAAAGAAGAATGGCTGATGCCTTATGAATTATTTTTACATCAAAATAAAATAATTTTCACACTTTTCAATTAGTTCAGTTATATCAGATATTCCTGTTTAGAAATTTAAAGCAACATATGTAAATATCCTGACAGTGTCAGACTAAAGGCCACTTTATGATGTTGATTTGCTGAAAATTTTAAGGCCATTTTATAATTCCTCAACAAACTATTGTGTGATACAAAAAAAGTTCAAACATGTTTCTAATATACTTATCTGATAATAAATATGCATTTGGTGACAACTGGATACAGTACATCAAACTTTCCTTTTGTATTTTAAGCGCCTAATTATGATTGATGACGCACTTCCGTTCCAAGTCATGTAAGCATTTTGAAGTCATTTAAACGTTTCGCTCAAAGCAAACGATACTTAACTGCGATGATAATGATTGATATTTGCACTGTTTACATTTTGCAGAAATTTGCAAGGTGTGGAAAACAACGATTGATTATCATTAATCTGAGATTTTGTCAATTTCTTTGATATGCCTTGTGATAATAAAGATTATAATGCATGACAGAAGCTTCCAAATTCCAGCATCATCAAGTGATTACCGGAAATATTCTTTCTTCCAATCTTGGAATAGTATACGGTCAATATATTATGTCCAAGTTCCAACAAACCATAATAGATTGCTACACTCTCCATCCTTGGGTTGTATCAAAGCCTTGGTGAAAAAGTTGAACTTAATTTAAACATTATGGGGGAGGGGTGGGGTCTATATGTGCACCATGCAGTCATGACAGGATACCTGTGCACACACCCTTAATTAACTAACCCTGTGCATGCACATCAATAGTCAACTAACCTTGTGCATGCACAGCCTTAGTTAACTACCTATTTGCATTCACAGAAGTATTTGCATAATTTTGTAAATGCACACTTTATATTTTATGTTTTTTTTCCAAGGACCAATAATACAACCTTGTTACGACCAAAACTTTTTCTTTTCATAATGACTTACAATACTTGTTATGAAGGCGTTTTAATATATGACAGCGTGTCCTTTATGTGAACTGGACCATTAACATAAGTGTCGAATAAGTTTATTTCTTATATTTTTTTCGGCTTTTCATGTTTAGGATAGGGGTTCACTACTTCAAGACAATGTTTCAAATACTATGAAAGATGCCCTTTGACCTTGCCTGGTTCAACTCTAGGTCAAACAATTCATTTAACATGTTTAAGGAACCTAAAATCGTATATTTTCATGTTATTTTTTTTTATTATTTGCAATAAAACTGCAATCCCGTCCCCTTTCCTCCAAATGTGACCTCCTGAATTTATCAATGGATATGTACTTGCATGAGCAACACGATGGGTGCCACATTTGGAGCAGAATCTGCTTACCCTTTGGGAGCACCTGAGATCACCCTCAGTTTTTGGTGGGGTTCGTGTTAACACTCCAGTCTTTTAAGTTTTCTATGTTGTGTTTTGTGTACTGTTGTTTGTCTGTTTGTCTTTTTCTTTTTTTAAGCCATGGCGTTTGTCAGTTTATTTTCGACTAATGAGTTTGAATGTCCCTTTGGTATCTTTCGCCTCTCTTTTACAATTAATTATATTTTTATAGAAATGTTATATGGCTATAAACCTAGATAATCTGTTATTGTATTGATATGATGTACTGTAAATTCAGAAATTATTGCGTGCATTTATTATTGCGATTTATTAAAAATGGACAATAATGCGAGATTAATTATTTCGATTTAAGGAAATTCTGCATACAAATGCGTATATTAGATATCAGAATGCGAGTTCTAATTATTGAGATACTAATCCAGTCGCACTATTCGCATTAATAAATACCTCGCAATAATTTCTGAATTTACAGTATATATTTTGAGGTATTTGTAATTAAGATTTGTATGAAGCAAACAGATGTGGTATAATGGCCAATGAGACAAGTTGACAACTATCCACCAGAGAACAAGCACTTAAATATTTACAGGTCTTCAACAATGAATAAAACCGATACTGTAAAGTAGCGCATTACAGGTCCTGTCATGACAAAATGTGAAACAACTTACACCATTGATTCAATCCACTCTTTTGTTTTAAATGATAATGCTTAAGTCATGTAGATAGTATTTTTTTAATTTTAGATCAGATAACAAAACAAATAGAGGACTGGGAACAGAAAGATAAGATGTTTGTGTCTACAAGAGCCAGTGATTATGTTCTGAAATGTTTACAGGACAACAGTTGTTTGACTTTAACTGGCCCATCGGGAGTTGGAAAATCATTTATTGCAAGACACATAGCACTAGTTTTAAAGAAGGAAGGATACCAAATAATACCTGTGAGAAAACCATATGATATAAGAGATTATTATCAACTTAATAAACGGACAGTCTTTATTGTAGATGATATTTGTGGAAATTTTACTGCCAACCAACAACAGATTGAGAGCTGGAAACAACTGTTACCTGTAATTTACACAATTATTGAAGACAAATATTGTAGGATTATTGTATCGTGTAGGTTACAAGTCTATAAAGATGCTAAGTTTAATTTGTTATTACCTTTTAAATCCTTTGTATGTAACTTAATATCAAATAACTTATGTCTTACATCTGTAGAAAAAAATATTATGGCAAAAACCTATATTGGTACAAGAGTGGACGATCTTGATGAATCATCACAAAATAGTGAGTTCTTTCCACTTTTATGCTCTTTATATGATAGGGGGGGAAATGGAGATATAAACGAATTTTTCAAAAATCCATTTAATGTCTATCAAAATGAACTAGACTATTTAAGTATGCATGGTGATGAAGGGAACTATAAAATATGCGGTCTTGTGTTATGTGTTCTCTTCAATAATCATATGAAAGAAAAATGGTTCCAAGGTGAAGTTACAGATGAACAAAGACATATCATTGAAGACACATGTGATGCTTGTGAAATCAACAGAAGTACATCAAAGACAAAACTGAAGAAAGCACTAGACACCGTAGATGGTACTTTTATATGTAAACAGGAGGGCATTTATAGTACTGTACATGATAAACTGTTTGACTTCCTTGCTCATTACTTTGGTCAGAAAATGATTGAATGTTTGATAGATCATGGGGATTTTCATTTGATACATGAACGTTTTGTTTGGCAGAAGTCACCAGATGACAAGAAAAGTAACATAGACTTCATTATTCAAATACAAGATGATTATTTAGGATCATATTTAGAAAGGTTTATAAAAGACTGGTCAGCAGGAAACGTTACAGCTGTATTCAATAACAATAATATGAAAGTATCATCATTCAGACAAAAGTTATTACAGTACTTAAAAAAACTAAATAAATCAAAACAAGTTATATTAGCCAATACCAAGGATACAGAGATACCAAAAGAGAACCGTGGATCAGGTAATACTCCACTTGTATTGAATTGTCATTATGGTTATACTGATATGGTACAGTGGAAGTTACATACTGATGTGGATGTTGATCAGTATAGAAATAATGGGGTTGCTGGACTGGAGAGGAATCCTAATATTGATATTTGTAACAATGATGGCTGTAGTCCTCTGTTAGCAGCAAGTACGAATGGACATGCTGATATAGTAAGGCTACTGTTAGAGAGGAATCCTAATGTTGATCTATGTGACAATGTTGGCTGTAGTCCTCTGATATTAGCAAGTCAAAATGGACATACCGAGATATTGAGGTTGTTGTTAGAAAAGAATCCTAATGTAGATCTTTGTGACAATGATGGCTGTAGTCCTCTGTTATGTGCAAGTCTGCTAGGACATATTGATGTAGTAAGGTTGCTGTTGGAGAGGAATCCTAATATTGATCTATGTAACAAGGATGGTAATAGTCCTCTTTACGAGGCAAGTATGCTAGGACATACCGATATGGTAAGGTTACTGTTAGAGAAAAATCCTAATGTTGATCTATGTAGCAACGATGGTGTAAGTCCTCTGTTATTGGCAAGTCAGAATGGACATACTGATATAGTAATGTTACTGTTGGCAATGAATGCTAACGTTGATCTATGTCACAAAGAAGGTATTAGTCCTGTGAGTAAGGCAAGTTCTAAAGGACATTCTGATATAGTAAAGTTACTGTTAGAGAAGAACCCTAATCTTGACCTGTGTGACAAGGAAGGTTGTAGTGCCCTGTTATTAGCAAGTACGGATGGATATACTGATATAGTTAGGTTGCTGTTATCGAAGAAACCTAACATTGATCTATGTGACAATGATGGTTATAGTCCTCTATGCTGGGCAAGTAATAGAGGACATACTGATATTGTAAGGTTGCTGTTGGAGAAAAATCCTAACGTTGATTTATCTAACAATGATGGATGTAGTCCTCTGTACCAGGCAAATCAGAATAGACATATTGAGATAGTAAGATTACTGTTAGAGAAAAATTCTAATGTTGATCTATGTGACAATGATGGCTGTAGTCCTATGTACAGGGCAAGTCAGAATGGACATACTGATATAGTTAAGTTACTGTGAGAGAAAGATCCTAGCATTGATCTATGTGACAAAGATGGTATAAGTCCTCTGTACTGGGCAAGCAATAAAGGACATACTGATATAGTAAGGTTGCTGTTAAAGATGAATGCTAATGTTGATCTGTGTAACAATGTTGGATGTTGTCCTCTGTATACGGCAAGTCAGAATGGACATACTGATATAGTGAAGTTACTGTTAGAAAAGAATCCTAATGTTGATTTATGTGACAACAATAACATTTCTGCTCTGTTATTAGCAAGTCAGCAAGGACATACTGATATATCATTGTTACTGTTAGAGAAGAATCCTAATGTTGATCTATGTGACAAAGATGGCCGTAGTCCTCTATTATTAGCAAGTCAGAATGGACATACTAATTCAGTTAGGATGCTGTTAGAGAATAATCCTAATGTTGATCTATGTAACAATGAGGGTGTTAGTCCTTTGTACATCGCAAGTCAGCAAGGACATACTGATATAGTAAGGTTACTGTTAGAAAAGAATCTTAATGTTGATCTATGCGACAATGCCGGCTGCAGTCCTCTGTTACTAGCAAGTCAGAATGGACATACTGATATAGTAAAGATACTGTTAGAGAAGAACCCTAATGTTGATCTATGTGACAAGTATGACACAAGTCCTCTGTTATTAGCAAGTCAAAATGGACATACTGATATAGTAAGGTTACTGTTAGCAATGAATCCTAACTTTGATCTATGTAGCAACGATGGTGAAAGTCCTCTGTACAGGGCAAGTTATAAAGGAAATACTGATATAGTAGAGTTATTATTGGAGAAGAATCCTAATGTTGATCTATGCGACAATAATGACATTAGTCCTCTGTTATTAGCAAGTCAGCAAGGATATACTGATATAACAAGGTTACTTTTAGAGAAGAATCCTAATGTTGATCTATGTGACAAAGATGGTCGTAGTCCTCTATTGTTAGCAAGTCAGAATGGACATACTGATTTAGTTAGGATGCTGTTAGCGAATAATCCTAATGTTGATCTATGTAACAATGAGGGTGTTAGTCCTTTGTACAAGGCAAGTTATAAAGGATATACTGATATCGTAAGTTTGCTGTTAAAGATGAATCCTAATGTTGATCTGTGTAACAATGATGGAGATAGTCCTCTGTATAAGTCAAGTCAGAATGGTCATACTAATATAGTTAGGTTGCTGTTGGAAATGAATCCTAACGTTGATATATGTAACAATGATGGCTGTAGTCCTCTTTACATGGCAAGCCAGAATGGACATATTGAGATAGCAAGGTTGCTATTAGGGAAGAATCCTAACGTTGATCTATGTAACAAGGACGGCTGTAGTCCGCTGTATATGGCAAGTCAAAAAGGCCATACTAAAATAGTGAGGTTGCTGTTACAGAAGAATCCTAACGTTGATCTAGGTAACAATGATGGCTGTAGTCCGCTGTTATTAGCAAGTCAGAAAGGACATACTAATATAGTTAGGTTGTTGTTAGAGAAGAATCCTAATGTTGATCTATGTAGTAATAAAGGATTTACACCACTAATCACAGCATGTGCAAATAACAACACCAGCATAGTCCAGTTGTTAATGGAGCATAAACCAGACACTAATGCCCAGACATATGATGGTAGTAATGCTTTAGTTTTTAGTGCATTGAATGAAAACATAGAAATAATACAGTTACTGTTCAAGAACAATGCTGACTGTAATGTATGTGCCCATAGTAAACAGTTTATAACTGATACAATTAAAGGCTGCCAAACCAAAACATTAGATAAGGTAAAACAGAACTGTTTTGATATTCTCACAAAGCATACATTATCATATGTAACAGATTATGTCAGAAAGAAGTCTCTAGATTATGCCTTTGATGTGGTGGCTGGTTGTTCTCCATTACACTATGCATGTTTTAGGGGTAGCATAGATGTTGTCCGTTGTCTTCTTGACCACAATGCTAACATCAACATGACAAAAGAAGATGGAACAACACCGTTATTTTATGCATGTGAAGTAGGACACGAGGGTCTTGTGTGTTTATTGTTAGATGAAGGAGCAGATACAAAGATATATAGGCTTGATGGAAAGTCCCCTTTGATAATTGCAAAAGATAATGGTCATAAATTTATAGTAATGATTGTAACAGAACACAAGAGAAAAGAAGATAAACTTTCTTCCTAACTCTTTTTCGTAGGGTTATGCCATGTGAAACACATGCAAGGCATATAACAAAGCCGTTTCTTTAGTATCTGTTCAATATGTTTGATATCGACTGCTATTCATTCCATTACTTTGTCTTTGATTTTGTAAGACGCATACAGCTTAGTTTCACATAACATGAACACTTCTTGATTTTGTCACCTAGAACAGAATATAACTGTACCAGACTTAATCAACATAGTAATTCTATCATTACTAAGTCATCGTAGTAGTTATCAAGTACTTCATAGATTTCATAAGTCATATTTGTTTCTTATCTACCAGTCAGATCAGTTTTTGTCGTATAATAATTTGACCTTGTAAACTTTCAAACCATCGGCAAACAGTAAAAGAGAGGCGAAAGATACCAAAGGGACATTCAAACTCATAAGTCGAAAACTAACAATGCCATGGTAAAAAACGAAAAACGACGAAATTTTATTTTTTTGTCTGCACATGCAGCTGGAGTAATTTCAATTGTAACACGTCATTAATTCACATCCGCCATGCAGGAACTTCCTGTTTGCCGCTATTTTGAAATTTTACAATACTCATTGTAATAGAAAAAATCTTCGTTACATTTTTTGTCTTTTAATGAAAGGGAATGCTCAGTTATGTTTCATTATACATATTACCTCTATAAATAACATGCAGCGACGCAGACCCAGATCCGGTATTGGTCTTGTTTCATATAGAGTCATGTTATATTTTTTTTTGTTTATTTCTGTTTTTCTTTTCTACACTTCTAACGTCTTACTCATATAATTAAATCTACAGAATTTTCACTTCATACCTACTGTTATAAACAACATACTACAATTTCCTTTAGTAAAACTAAACCTGAATATACTTAGGTATTTACTTCAGGTCAGTTTAAAACAGAAAATAAGCAAGAAATTGTCAAAATTAGGCTTCAAGACTCGTCATTACTGTGTTCAATATTATCCAACAAGCCTATTTGTACCAAACCTTCACAGCACCAGGGTTCTTAGGAGATGTGAATAAATGGAACACTGATGACACAATACCATGTCAACATTCTTTGACCAATGCGAGCACATAAACGAGAATAGACTACAACTTGTTCTCAACCTAGGAGGATTTTATCTTAATCAGTAGTAGAACAATGATTAACTGCATGGATTTTGTATCACTCTATACAAATGCTGCAGAATGCAAGACATAGGGATGCTAACTTGGCTGTGGCAGCTTCAGTTTCAATTTTTATTTATTTCATTAGGAACGAAGAGCTATATATTTATATATTCAGATTTTATATTGATAACTTGAAATTGTGTAGGTTCAAAAACCTTTATTTCGCGAATATCGTGATGTAATGCTAAAACAAATATTTTTTTTGATAAATTTACTTTTAATGGTTTAATGGACATATATTGTTTACTTTTGTGTTTACTTTGATTTGTTGTCCCTGTGTTTGTGTAAGTTATAGATGTTTCTGTTTTTGTATCTTAGATTTATATTGGGAGGAATATTTAAAAGAGCTGATTATATTGCTATGAAATCACCATACATTCAATGAAAATACAATTTCTGTATCAAGTCTTAACAGGGAAAATGTGACCGTGACATATAATATTTTATTTGTTTGGTTACAAATTCTAATCAAACTACAGAATTAACATTACATTATTGCAGGAATGTAAGGCCATGTGAGAAATGTCAACACGTTGGGTCTGTGCTATTCGTCTATCTGTCCTTTACTTTTCAGCTTTGAAAGATTGTCTGATTTGAAACCTTGAAGTCTGTTTTAACTCAACTTGGCATTAATTATTCCTTCAGTCAAACCTTCAAAATTAGGTTTGTTGACCAAACCAGCCCCAAAAAAAGCCAATATGGCCACCATTTACTATAAATAACATAGAATAAAACTTCTGTTTTGAGTATATTATCTATTGATACATGTCTGAACCCTTGTAACTGATAGCTTTATATCTATATGAAAACATTTTCATCAAGATTGATGTTAACAATTTCGAGAAAAAAAATTCTAAATTAACTGAGACATATTGGTGAAATAGTACTGACAAAAATTCACATCTGATGACCAGCTATATATTAAACATGATTGACATTCCTAATAAGGACCTTGCACAAAAGTGCACTAAAATACTCAGAAAAGCCGGAAAGACATTTAAGATTGTGCAATCTTGTAAGTTTCTTTTATCTCTCCTGAAAGTAATGAAAGTAATGAACTGATCGCTGTGTATTACCACCCTGCTTTGATTGAATATGACCTAGATAATTTATAATTGTGTTGTTTTTTTTAAGATGGCGGCCTTGACCAGGTTTCGTCTGTTATCTCTAAAACTATAATAGCTATGTAAAACCTGAAGAGAACAAAAATGATCAGCATACAAGATATACAAGAATAACAATATGACCAAATCCATTGGATGACTCAATTTATGAGTTATTGCCCTAAAATAAAGATTCTTGGAGTTTATGACTATTATTTCAATTTTTGACAAGTGACTGATTCAGGCTCTTAGGAACCTCTTGATGATGAATGTCTTGTAGGTTGAGAACCTTTTAAAATGGAAGCCATTTTGCAGTAACCCAATTATAAGCGTTTAAAACAGGACAGCCAGATGCGAATCCAGGATTTTGAAATGGGGGGAGGGGGGGGGGGGGTCAAAGTTTGGAGTGAAAAAAAGTCTGAATTAACCATAAATGTATCTCCATAAAGGGGTACCCGGGCAACACCCCACCCCCCTAATTTTCAACATCACAGCTTTTATTGTTTTAGGTGTAATATAAACAATACGAAATAAAGTCTATAGTTAAATTTCTTGTAAAGTTATAACATACTCAATCTAGAATTATTGTGATTTTTTATTTTAGAATTATCTTTAAGTAATAACATTTTTATTGTCATAATTATATATTGTTTCCATTCTAATATATACATATATTTTGTTTATAAAATAAGTGTCAGAAAAAATAATCATAATAAAGTATTAATCTGTATTTTATGTAATTTTATTAATTTCTATTGGTTAATTTGCTAAAAACACCGTCCAGATAATGTTTTCTTTGGTTGAAATTGGTCTGACTAATATTCCTTTGAAAATCATGATAGATTTGGATAATGCATTCATCATGTTTATTGCAGTTCAAAATTTCAACATGATGGGTGCCAAATGTGGAGCAGGACCTGTTTACCCTTCTGAAGCCCCTGAGATCACCAGTCGATTCGTTTTAAATGCTATGTGTTACCTTTGGTTTAGTTTCAAATGTTGTTCTCTGTGATAATTAATTTTTCAAGGTCTGTGTTGTTATACTGGAATCAGTCAGTGTTAGAAAATATTCATGACAGATGGTTTACAGATTGGTGATGCTTAAAGGTTAGATAAAAGACAATTATAAATCTGTTATTGCCTAATATCACTTGATATAATTTACAAACGTATTCTGACAAAATCTGTTAATATGATGAGATGTGCATCCGAGTTTTAACTAACTTTCCAAAAAGTCCAACTGCTTTTTGTCTTGCCTGCGACGAAAGTCGCATCATGCGAGACATAGGGATTACAATCTGGCGGCGGCGATGGCGTAAACTATTTGTTTTAAGCTTTATATTTCAGAAGCTAGAAGAAATGGATGCTTCACACCTTGTTTGCAAATACCTTATGTTACGAAATTTCCGTCTGTCATATGTCTATTGTCCTTCATCTCATTTTCATGGTTCAGCGACTGCTTGAAAAAAAAAATCAGTTTTTTTGAAAAGTGAAATGCTCACTTATTATGAGTAGGAGGATAACAATATTTGGTATATGGGTTCCTCGCAAGGTTTACATGTCCGTCAGGTAGGGTCCAGCTGACCTCGACCTCATTCCATGGATCAATGATCAAGGTTGAAGTTACGTGGTCAAGTCCGTATCTCAGATACTATAAGCAGTAGGTCAACTATATTTGGTGTATAGAATAATTGTAAGGTGTACATGTCCGACTAGCAGGTTTCATCTGACATTGACCTCATTTTCATGGTTCATTGGACAATGTTTTGTTTTTGTGGTTTGGTCTATTTCTCACATACTATAAGCGGGTCAAGTTTATTTGATGTATGGAATAATTGTAATGTGTACATGTCTCTCTGGCAGGTTTCATATGACCTTGACCTCATTTTCATGGTTAATTGGTCAATGATAGGTTTTTGTGGTTATGTCAGTTAATCAGCTACTATACGCAATAGGTCAACTATGTTTGGTGTATGAATGGTTGTAAGGTGTACATTGTCTGTCTGGCATGGTTCATCTGACCTTGACTTCATTTTCATGGATCATTGACAATGTTAAGTTTATGTGATACTTGTAGTAAAATCTTCATAGTACAGACTTTCAACATAAATTCAATCATAAGTAAAGCAGGCGAGATAGTTCAGTGTGTGCACTCTTGTTATATAATTTGTTACATTTTCGTGGGCGTGGTTTTCAGAAGAACCATTGGAACCATTGCGCTTCTTTTCCATTTTCCTTGTATTATAATAATGGATCTTGGTACCCCCTAGCTCTCTAAACATATAAAGTTACAAGACATAGTGAAATTAAAATTCTTAACATCGAAGGTGTACAAACGCATTTTAGAGGAGTTCATGATTCTGTCATCTATTTTTGTTTTGATCAGGATCCTAATTTCAATACTTAGCATAAAAATCTTTACCCGCAGTTTCATTCAAATGTATTGATTTAACTTGCATTGGAAAATTCTTATACTTACCATAAAATTCCACAAATCTGGATTTTTCATCAACAAGAACTTTGTTACAGTGTATGGCCTATCATGAGCACCCCACCCCATAAAAACAAAGAGTGTAAAAAAATATCGCAGCTCTGTAAATTCAAACATTTAAAGCATATAATGATTTCAATTATAAATACAAAGTAGTTGAAATTTTTTGTATAGGTATGACAAAACCTCATTGTCAAATAAATTTTTTATAAGATTGGAAAAATGTAATTTTT